TGGATCACTTATCCAGAGATCGTTGAGCATGAGCTGGCAATTATTAGTGGTCTCCACTTGTCGATATCTTCCCAGAGAGATCAGATTAGGGCAATTTGTAATTCTCAAGGATCTTAGTGCTGCAAGCCTTGCAATTTCATCAGCCAGAGGAATAGATGTAATGTTTGGACAGGCAACGACATGTAATGTTTCAAGGGGAATAGGATTTGAATTGCTACAAAAATTCAAAGTCTTCCACCCCATGTTATCTATATACAAGTTCTTGAGCTTAGGAGGCAAAGAGGGCAACTCTTTCAACTTGGGGCATTTTTCTAGCACCAGTTCAATTAAGCAAGGAAACAAACATCCATCTTCAGCAGCTACTCCTTCCTCAAACCAATCCTCTAATGATTCTAAACTCGCAATAAGTAAATATAGTAGCGATGGAAAGGCATGGTATTTATCATTCCCATTAAATTTACTTTCGAGACATTTTACTTTCGGCAGGCTATAAAGTATCAGTATCTTGAGAAAGGGAAGTTGCCCAAAAGGTGGAAGAGTTTCCCATTCCTTGCAATCAATCAATTCGATTTCCTCAATTTTCTTTATATTGGTGAGCAGATTGACATTGTTCATCCATATTGCAGACCTTGCACCCATGTATCTCTCTATTCTCAGTTTCCTTAGACATTTTGGTGGATGAAGGTTGTCGAGCACATTCTCATCTAAATCGTTGTTCGTCGAATAATAAGTGTTACTCCAACATAAGGTTAAATCTCTGAGCCTACTCTTGGAACATAATTTGGCACTACAAGCCTCCTCGGCATCCTTAACATTTTCAAGGCAATTGATTCCTAATTTGCAAAGATCATTCATATTCTCCAGCTCCCCAATTCTATAACCACTCATATCTCTAAGATCAAATATATACAGTTCTGAAAGAGACATTAGCTTCCCAATCCCATATATTGATGAAATATAACTATTTTCCGGAAATTCCAAGTAACGCAAGTTAGCAAGGCTATTAATGTCACTTGGTAAAAAAACATCACCTTCAGGACCGCTTAGGCTATATGGCCTCTTATAGATTATATATTGCAAGTGATAGAGATTACTTACAGATCTTGGCAGCATAGTCAAATTAGAATTATCAATCTTTAAGTACCGAAGATGTATCAAATTTTCAATCTCCTCAGGTATTATTTCCAAGCCTTTTGAAACCCATATGTATAATAAGCGTAGGCTTCTCGATGTTTTCAATACTTCAATAAGTCCACTGTGAAGATCCTGATCATTAAAATCTTCATAGAACAAGAAAAGAGAATGCAAATGTTTCAACTTCTCAATCTTTCTTAAGATGTATGGTTTTGCATTTAGAACAAACAAGTGTCGAATAGTCTCAGAAATTTTGAGAGATGACTCTTTATTACCCACAAGTTTACAGCATACCTGAGAAAAAAATTTAGATGCTGACTCATGTATTAAATCATGCATCTTGTAGTCATCACCGACCTTGTCGAATAAAGCTTTTTTGACTAAAGCATCAAAATACCTTCCTCCGATATCCTCCATAGTCATTCCTTGAGACGGCCGAATGAAACCCAACGCAATCCACATTCGTACTAAATCATCTTTATCAAACTCATGATCTTCTGGGAAGATACAACAAAATGCAAAACAATTTCGTAGATGATTTGACAGAACTATATAGCTCAGTCTTAAGATGGACTGGATAGAATTCTGATCCAGTAAATTGCTTTCTAGAACTTCCCTCCAACGCCTTGCATCCAAGTCAAGAGAATTCAGAACACCACCAATGACCTTAGCTGCCAACGGTGATCTTGAAAGCTTTTTAACTATATCACGAGCAATGACTCTTAAATTTTCATGATCGTTCGGGGAGTTCTCTACACCAGCAAATGCATGAGAGTTAAGGAGCTGCAAACACTCATCTTCCGCTAGGCCCTCTAATTTAACTATTTCCTTCTTCTTTTTAAGAACCTTTGCAAGTGCAACTGAGTCCGTTCGAGTTGTTACCAGAATCTTACTACCAAAGCCCCCAGAAGATAGAGGGGCGAGCACATCCTCCCATTTGCTTTTATCCTTCTCCTCATCCTCCTCCCAAATATCATCGAGCACAAGTAAGAACTTTTGGGACATAATCTCAGTCCGAAGACTATTTTGAAGTGCATCAAGTGTGTCACAACGAGGCTTCTCTTTCTTAAGAGATTGCAACATATCTGCAATGACTTTCTTCACATCAAAGTTGTTGGAAACACAAACCCACATTTTAAGACCAAATTCCTTTGTAATTTCATCATTATAAACATTTTGCAACAGAGTTGTCTTCCCCATACCACCATGGCCGACTATAGATAGAAGAGAAATGTTTCTGTACAACTCAGTTCCCCGATGCTCATTTGATGGATTCCTCAGCCACTCCATAACACGCTTCTTTTCCTTTCCCAGCCCAATGAGATCATTTTTAGTCGAGGATCCCGTTTCACGTGCTCTGTGCAGCTCATGCTGCTGCTTCTGAAGCTCCTTCTTTGCGTCTTTTACAAGATAAAGGAAATTATCAACACCAGTTGTTGTAACTTCATAAAGTTTCTGCAGAGCGTCCTCCAGTCGCTTCAAGGTGGGATCAATTTTGAGAGCACGTTTGCCAATTTTGACAAATTTTTTCTTCATGGATTTCATGATGGAACGCACCCTTCTCAGCTTCTTGTCTTTGGTCACCTGCTTTTCAAGCTCCATGTACTCCAGCTCGTCAACCACGTCAAATGCATCATCAATGGCATCTCGTAGCTGCCATAGCCATTCGTTAAGAGGTTTATTTTGGTCTGTGATCTGCTCTTGGCTGGAAGCATAGTGGGCGACAGCTTGGATCTGGGGGAGATACCGTTTCAACCTTGCCAGCGGCTCCTTCGTGCGTTTATCCCATTCGATTTGATCTTTCACGTAACGGAAGCCAACTCTGATGAGCTTCTCTGCAAGATCAACTAACTTATCCTCCATGACGATCGATGTAGAGCAGAACAACTGAACAGTAAGCAAAAAAGGAGAATGGAAGAGATGCAGATTAGATGGTCTACCGCCTCACGATGATATCCTGCTGGTTAAGATAAGGAAAATCCTTAAATGCTTCATCTCAACCGTTTCTTTGAAATTCGACGGCCTAACGGAGAAGTCAACAACGCCAAGGAATTCCAGCTAGCAATGGTCAAATGTGGCGTCGCATAAATGATAAAACTTAAGCAAATGGTAGAGTGAAGGCCCACTACTAAAGTTTCATTTGAACAATTTTTTACTGCTTCCTAACTAAAGTTTTTAATTTTTAGTGAAAAAAAAATCATTTAAAAAAATTTATACTTAAAAAATTATTTTAAAAAATAGTAAAAAAAAAAATGATGTGAAGCAATGCTTAAGCTGCAGGATAATAGTTGACTACAATCAATTTCCGTTGTTAAATATAAATTTTTTTTTAATAAAAAATATTTTATTAAAAAATCGTTAATTAATTGGAGAAGAGATATGAGACGATGAAGATTAAGGTGATTTTTATTTGATAAATGATAAGCACAAGCTCAAGCCTTCAATGTAATCTGATGCAAGTAAGTGAGAAAAATAATAAAGATTTATTCACATTATCTTCCAAAGAATTGACGGCATTAAAGTCCGCAGGGTCACATGCAAAAAAGCTGTCTGCCAATTATTTTCCTTGCTTTTTCACAATGTTCCAAAAGTACGTCACATGCACATTGATACTTGTCTGCCACTCAGTAATTTAATTGTCTAATTGAGATCCACCGACAAGTTATTAAGGGTGTAAACGAGTCAAGTTGAGTCAGATTTTGACCCTTATCGAATTCAGCTAGTTACATGAAAAGTGAGTTCGAACTTGAGCTCATCTCGCTGTAAACGAGCTCAAGCCGGTTCGCCAGCCATGGGTGGAAAATTTTAAATTTAGGTAGAATTTTTAAAAATTAAGACGATTTTTAAAATTTAGTCTATATATATATATATATATATATATATAACATTTAAATAAAATTTAGTTGATTATTATTTTTTTAATATTTAAATTTAATAAATAAAAAAAATATTTTAAAAATATTAATATTTATTCGAGCTGGCTCATGAGCCGAGGCGACTCAAGCAAAATTTTTATTAAATGAGCTTGAACTCAAGCTCGACTCGTGAGCTTCATAAGCTCGACTCGCGAGCCCATAAACGAGCCGAGCAAAACTTACACCCCTATATGCTACTCTCCTAAATTTATTTTACTTTAACGTCATCAATTAATTGGGCTTTAATGAAAGTGATGGTGACTCTTCAATTCTTTTGTCAACTTTTTTTTTTTTCATTTTTTGAACTTAGTATTGTAGATAAGTTTGGGATTTTTTTTTACTAGGATTGAGATGGTTTGGTAATTTTTTAATTGTGATTAATTCTATTCTATTCAATAAAATGCATCGAAAGATATATATAATAATGAAAAAAATATGATGTGATGTAATGTTGGGGCTGTCAGCAGACAGATCAAAATCTATTGGCAGTCGACGCCTTGGTGGAAGTTTGATGACAATTGGTGGATGGGCAGTGATCCAACGAAAGTAAGAAAAAAAGGAGAATGGAAGAGATGCAGATTAGATGGTCTACCAGCTCACGATGATATTCTGCAAGTTAAGATAAGGGAAATCTTTAAATACTTCATCTCAACCGTTCCTTTGCAATTTGACGGCCTAGTGGAGACAGTCAACAGCATCAAGGAATTCCAGCTGGCAATGGTCAAATTTGGCGTCCCATAAACAATAAAACTTAAAGGAAATGATCAAGCGAAGGCACACTAAGGTTCCATTTGGACAATTTTTTACTGCTTCATAACTAAAATTTTTACTTTTTAGTGAAAAAAAAAAATCATTTAAAAAAAATTGTACTTAAAAAATTATTTTAAAAAATAGTAAAAAAATGATGTGAAGCAATGCTTAAGCTGCAGGATAATAGTTGACTACTTTTTAAATCCGTTTTTAAATAAATTTTTTTTAAATAAAAAATATTTTATTAAAAAATCATTAATTAGTTGGAGAAGAGATATGAGACGATGAAATTTAAGTTGGTTTTTATTTGATAAATGATAAGCACAAGCTCAAGACTTCAATGTAATGTCATGCTAGTGAAAATAATAATAAAGATTTATTGAATAATTTTTTATTCTCTTCCAATGAATTGATGGCATTAAAGTCCACAGGGTCACATGCAGAAAGACAGCTGTCTGCAAATTAATTTCCTTGTTTTTTCACAATGCTCCAAAATTATGTCACATGCACATTCATACTTGTCTGCCACTCAATAATTTAATTGTCTAATTGAGATCCACAGACATGTTATTAGGGGTGTAAACGAGTCGAGTCTAGTCGGATTTTAACCTTTATCGAACTCAACTCGTTACATGAAAAGCAAGTTTGAACTCGAACTCGTCTTGCTGTAAATGAGATCGAGCCGGCTCGCCGGCAATGGGAGGAAAATTGTAAATTTAGGTGAGATTTTTAAAAATTAGATGGAATTTTTAAAAAATTAAGTTTAAATTTTAAATTTTAGACTATATATAATAATAATAATAATAATAATAATAAAATAAAATTATTTTAAAAATATTAATATTTATTCGAGCTGGCTCACGAGCCGAGCCAACTCAAGCAAAATTTTTATTAAATGATCTCAAACTCAAGCTCGACTCGTGAGCTTCATAAGCTCGACTCGCGAGCCCATAAACGAGTCGAGCAAGACTTACACCCCTACAAGTTACTCTCCTAAATTTATTTTACTTTAAAATCATCAATTAATTGGGCATTAATGAAACTGATGGTGACTCTTCAATTCTTTTGTCAACTTCTTTTTTCATTTTTTGAACTTAGTATTGTAGATAAGTTTGGGATTTATTTTTTTACTAGAGTTGAGATGGTTTGGTAATTTTTTAATTGAGATTAATTCTATTATATTCAATAAAATGCATCAAAATATAAGTATAATAATAAAAAAATTATGATGTGATGTAATGTTGGGGCGATCGGCAGCCGGATGAAAATTTGTTAGCAGTCGACAGCCTGGTGGAAGTTTGATGGCAATTGGCAACCAGTCAGTGGTCCAACGAAAGTAAGAAAAAAAAAGGGAGATTGGAAGAGATGCAGATTAGATAGTCTACCGGCTCACGACGATATCCTGCTGGTTAAGATAAGGGAAATCCTTAAATACTTCATCTCAACCGTTACTTTGAAATCTGACAACCAAGCGGAGACGTCAACAACGCCATGGAATTCCAACTGGCAATGGTCAAATGTGGCGTCGCATAAACGATAAAACTTATTGAATATTTTTTCCCTTCTCCTCTTCCAATGAATTGATGGCATTAAAGTGCGGATGTCACATGCAAAATGACAGCTGTCTCCCACCTAAAATCCTTGCTTTTTCACAAAGCTGGTACATCACAATTCACGTGAACATTCATAGCTGTCTGCCACTTAGTAATGTAGTGAACATTCACGCACATGTTATTAGGGGTGTAAAGGAGTCGAGTAGAGTAGAGTTTTGACACGTATCAAGTTCGCCTCCTTACATGAAAAGTAAGCTCGAACTCCATCTCGTCTTACTGTAAATGAGCTCGAGCTGACTCGCCACCCATGCGAGGAAAATTTTAAATTTAGACGAGATTTTTAAAAATTAGTCAGATTTTTAAAAATTAAACTGGATTTTTAAAATTTAGTATATATATATGTATATTTATATAACAGTTAAATAAAACTTACGTGATTTTATTATTATTTTTTTAATATTTATATTTATTAAATAAAATAAAAATTATTTAAAAATATTAATATTTATTCGAGCCGGCTCGCGAGCTCACGAGCCGAGCTGGTTCAAGTTCGAACTCGAGCTCAAGCTAGACTCGTTAGTTTGATAAGCTCGGCGTGCGAGCCCATAAACGAGTCGAGCTCGAGCCTGCTCGCGAGCCGGTTCGACTCACTTACACCCCTACATGCAACTCTCCAAAATTTATTTTACTTTAAATTCATCAATTAATTTGACTTTAATGACACTGATTGTGACTCTTCAATTATTTTGTCAACTTTTTTCATTTTTTTAACTTAGTATTGTAGATAAGTTTGTTTTTTTATTAGGGTTGAGATATTTTGGTAATTTTTTAATTGAGATTAATTCTATTCTAATAAAAAAAATGCATCAAATTATATGTATAATAATGAAAAATACGATGTGATGTAATGTTGGGGCGATCGGCAGCCAGATGAAAATCTGTTGGCAGTCAACGGCCTTGTGAAAGTTTGATGGCAATTGGCAGTCAGGCATTGGTCCAACGAAGGTAAGGCCGAGTCTTTTCAAATATGTTTTGGATATATATTTAGATATTATTTGTTCATCCAATTTATGATTTAAATCATTCAAATATACTTTGGAACCTCAATTTGGGCTCATTTGGGATTGGATTGGACCAATTTTAGTATCGTTGGATTCGTCTCTTTAGGACGTTTAGTTTGATTATAAGTTTGCTTAAATCAAAGTTAGGATGGTCCCCAATTTAATTTTGAAAGTTTTCAAATTGGACATTTCTAGAGATTTGTGCTCGATTAAGATGATTTTTATGACGTATCAATAATAATATTAAATTGTCCAATTAATACCTTGAAGCTTCAAGATTGAATATTTTTCATCATAAAACTAAGTTCTTATTCAAATATTCAATTTAATATTTAGATACACATTTACACAGTTAATGAGCTTTCATTCTTCATCTTCTTTGCTTCCTCATTGCTTTGCTTTTGAATGAGAGTTGAATTGTGGTGATAATGATGAATTATTATGAATGCAAATTTAGTTAAAACTTAAAAGAATCAAACCTAATGCTCTTTGAGATTATAATCAAATAATGTGGCTACATATTATATCATGATGGGTTATTAGGTTTATATATTCTGAACAATTAACATCCTTTTCATGTTGTTTAATAATCTAAATTAATCTTTTGGATGAGTTTAAAATTTCATCACAATTAAGTTGGTTTTTATCTGATAAGCAGAAGCTCAATCCTTCA